AAACTCACCGTTCTGCGATGTTTCCCCATGTTCTGGCGGCCATTTTGGGTGGTTCCGGCAGCCATTTTGGGTGTTCCGGCCACCGCCGAACAGCTGTTCCCCCTCGCAATGCGAAGAAACATCGGTATGCGATCGCATTAGCGATCGCAAAATCCACATCAGTATGCGGATTCATCGTTAAACGGTGCCCTCGTTATGCGAGGCACCACTGTAATTGGGTCAAATAAACTTAACTCCGGCAACGTGCCATAACTGTCTAATACAATTTTACCCCCACCATCCTTTCCTTCTTCTGGGGACAGCTGGCAGCAAGAGAAGAACCTTTTGCCCTGGCTGAAACTGCCTCGGTCTAACATTCTTGTCATACCTCCTCTTTTGCCCCTGCTGTGCAGCCGCCAAGTTTGTCTTGGCGAATTGTGCCACCTTATTCAGGTGTTCTCTCATATACATCATATGTTTCACCACTTCTGAGCCTCGTCCTTACCGCTCTGCCATTTCTCTTTTACCAAGTCAAGTATTCCTCTAGGGTTCCACCCATACATCATTTCGAAAGGGGAAACCCCGTAGACGCCTGTGAGACCTCCCATACTGCAAACATAAGAGGTGCTACCAGCAAATGCCACCTTTTGGGCTTGTCTATAACTAATTTCCTCAGCATCCCTTTCAGAGTCTTGTTGAACCTCTCAACTAGCCCATTGATCTGAGGATAAACCGCTGTACGTACAGACTGAACCTCTAACAACTTCCACATCTCTTTCAAAGTTTGACTAATGAAATTTGTGCTCTGATCAGTCAACACCTCCTGCGGGAATCCTAGCCTCATGAAAACTTGCATAAGTTCCTTAGCTATTGCTGTTGACATGGTTGACTGCAGGGGAATAACCTCTGGATATCTTGTGGCATAGTCTATCAACACTAGGATGTGGGTGTGGCCTCCAGCGGACCTCAGCAGGAGTCGCACTATGTCAATTCCTACTCTATCAAAGGGATGGTCTACTGGGGCATAGAATAAGTGGGGCTCCTGGCCTTGGTTTCCCCTGAGTGATCTGGCATTGCTTGCATATATTGCAATAATCTTCAATCTCCTTTGCCATAATTGGCCACCAAAACCTCTATAATATCCTCCCTCTCGTTTTCTCTACAGCCAGGTGTCTAGCCATAGGGGTAGCGTGAGCCAACTGCAATATCTCCCTTCACCACTTAGATGGCACCACTAATTGTTTGTTACTCTCTTGGGCCACATGGTACAAAAGTCCCTCCACCATTTCTAACTCTGCTTCTCCAGTTTTAACACTCCCTACCTCTCCCGCTTCTTGTAACATTTCTTGCAACGTCGCATCATCTTGTTGCTGCATTCTGGTTTGTTCTTGCAATGTCTCCTGCAGAAAATCAGTTTCAATTTCTTTCTCAGTCTCTTCCCCTGTAACCCTTCTTTGAGCGGTAAGAACTTATGAGCATCTGCCCAATCTCATCCCAACGACATCTCCCTGGAAAACCCTGGTACAATTCCCATTTTAAGTCATTGTCTTTCTGCCCCAATGCTCACCTCTGCCCATGCGGTTTTATAAGTCTTAGAGTCTCTGTGAATGCACTGTACAGAAAATTCATCTCCCAGGGTCACCCCCTCCAAGTTTCGCACCAAGGTTCTCCTGCAGCCTGTGACCATGAGCACCTTTTTCTTCTCTCCATTTACCCAAGCCAACACCTGCCATTGATCTCTTTCAGATCTCTATACTTCCACAGCCTCACACTCAGTGCCTACCCAAGTGCAATCCATGCCAGGGCAATCACATTTCACATGTCCAGGACGCCCACAGTCAAAGCAAACAGGGTGTCCGTCCTTTCCTGGCTTGAGCCCCATGCCACTCTCGAAAAATTGGTGGTCGAATGTGATGGGGTGCACTGGCTTGGGTCTCATCGGCTCAAAGGGGTGCCCTTTGTTAAGGTTGGATGAGCTAAAAACTCCTTGTGGCTCAGCTCCATTGCCTCCTGTTGCCATCTTCTCCCGTGGTCATGCCTTTTCCTGCATCGTGAAGTTGTCTCGGATGCCCTCTTCAGCTAAGCAAAAATCCTCTATTAACCGAACTGCACCCTCCAACCTTGTCAGGTGATTCCTCTGCACCGTTCTTTAGACTACTCCTGAGGGTCGTGATCAATTGCTCCATTACCAATATTTCCAAAATGTTTTCATTTGTCTTTTTGTTGGGTTTCAGCCACCTTACTAAATTTGCTCTCATCCTCTGCATCAACGGTCTTCGGTGCACTCCCGCCTTTAACCGTAGTTCCCGAAATCTCTTCCGATATGCTTTCTTTGTCAAGTTCAATGTTTTCAAAATAGCAATTTTTACTGTTTCATATTAAGATGCTTCTACGATGGACAATGTGTCCACCACCTCTTAAAGCACTCCCATTAGACAAGGAATCAGAATTAATGTCCATTGTTCTTTTGGCCACCCCGCCACGGTCGCCACCTTCTCAAAGTTAAGCAAATCCGCCTCAGGATCATCTGCGAACCCCATCTTCTGCATCCTTATCGGGGCGGGGCTCGCCACCAGGGGTTCCTAACTCCTTCCAAACCTTTATTTCTTTTTCCCTCCTCATCTCTCCAGCAACTGCCTGGTCAATAAAGTTTGTTGTTCTGTCAGATTCTCAATCAACTTCTCTTGTCTCTCGATCATCTGCTGCAATTTCAAAAGTTCCCAATTTCCTGCAGTAGGAGTTGCCCCACACTGGGCGCCACTGTGATCGGGTTCAGCTTCAAATTTTGGCATTGGGCGCCACTGTGATCAGGTTCAGCTTCAAATTTTGGCAACTATTCATTTTGTGCAGGAAATATCACTGGAGACGTTTTCTTTAACAACTTCTTTATTGATTACATGCTGCTCTATTCCATTTATAACTGGATCAAATAAACTTAACTCTGGCAACCTGCCATAACTGTCTAATACAAATTCTCGTCCCAAATCAGCTGAACTCAACAGGGGTCCTGGGCCAAACTTCTCCGCATCGGTGGGTTTCCGAAGAGGTGCGCTCCTCACTGCGCAAATGGTGTCGCAGCATGGATGCCGAGCCCAGTCTCCTTCGGGCGGAGGAGTGTTGTACCGGGAATCTGGGTGAATCACCTGACGTCCTCTACCCTTGTTCTTGGGGAAGACTATCACTGACCGTTCTGATGTCTCTTGTCGCACCTCTCCCACTTCCTTTGAGACGGGGTCGGGTAACAGCCCTCCTAACTTGAGGTTAGGGAAATCACGCAGTAACTCTTGGGTCTTCACCCTCTCATACTCTCTCAGTCTCTCCAGCTCTCTTGCACTTCCACAATTCCAGCTCTACCTCGAACCGCCGTTCTCCTTGGTTACTTATACCCTCTTCCCAGACTGACAGCTCCTGCTCCTCCCCTTTCTTGTTCCCGCACTCCTCCACTAGGCTTACTTCAAATTTCTCGCCTCGCTCCGTTGTCCCCTCTTCTGAAGCTAAGTTCTCCCTTTGGTCCGCCTGTTCTTTCTCAGGCACTTCCACAATTCCAGTTCTACCTCGAACCGCCGTTCTCCTTGGTTACTTATACCCTCTTCCCAGACTGACAGCTCCTGCTCCTCCCCTTTCTTGTTCCCGCACTCCTCCACTAGGCTTACTTCAAATTTCTCGCCTCGCTCCGTTGTCCCCTCTTCTGAAGCTAAGTTCTCCCTTTGGTCCGCCTGTTCTTTCTCACTCTCGGGTTTTTCCCCACCCTTCATTCCTTCTTCCTCTGGGGATGGCACACTCTCCTCTGGACCTCCTTCACAGTGGGTTTAAAACATTTAAATTAAATTGTAGGAATTAGTAAAACAAAGATTTAAAACATAACAGTGACCATTGTAATCATGTATCCACATCTGAAACACTACATAAGTGTAATTTGCCCAATCTCGAGAAGAATATTGTTAAATAGTAAAACGAACAGAAAGAGACAGCAAAGGGGAGGATCATACAGAGGTTTACTCAATTACAAACAATATACAGAGTGCTAGGAAGTGGTGTCTTCCAGTGACATTGACTGACAGAATATTCAAAGAAAAAGATAGAGAACTTCTTCACAATACACACAATAAATTTACGGAAATCACTGTCAAAAGATGTGGTCATAGTCGCTAGCTTGGATAGAACTAAAAGAGGTTTGGACACATTAATAGCTACTAGTCATCATGTCATATGTGCAGTCCCAAAGTCAGGCTAGAAACAGTTCACAGCACAATAACAGAAACTCTGAAAGTCTAGGGCTAAACTGCTACTCGTGATGAAGCTCAGAAGACAACGAAACCCAGCTGTAGCACTAAGTAAGGAGGATAGGCCCAGGAAACACACATGAAGTTACTAGTACACATGTATTAATTAGAATGGCAAACTACACAGGCCAGAGCTCCACTTGATGCTGGGAGAGGAGCTTACCCATGGCCCTACAAGATCCAGAAACTTGCTCTTTCTTGATTCAAAGGCTAAATCACTGAATACCAACTGGTGGGGAACAACAGATAGTACTATGCATTCATGCCTAGCTTGTAGCCTTCAAAGAGGCATTTGGTTGATAAATATAAGATACAGGTCACTGGGATGGATAGATATCTGGTATGATTCAGCAGCGCAGTTCTGGCATATTTAAACAGCAAAATGCTAAATAATAATTGTAAATTAATTAATGGGCAATAATAAATTTTAATTGAATCATTTTCGAATTCAACATATTAAACATATTACAACTTGAGGTATCATCAAATACAATGCATTGTGGGGAATGTGTTTCTCCAATACATTAAGCTAAAATACATAAAGTGTTATTAAATAGTCAATTTGCTGCTGTACAAGAATTAGGTTAATTATTATAATATAGTGCCCCCACTTCCTCTGAATAATTTATATCATCAATTTTCAAAGAACAATAACAAAGAAAACTATCTGTTAAATTGTAAAAAATAATATTAAATAGCAAAGGCACTTATGATATATGAACCATTGTTACTTCTTACCTTCTAGGTGATCCATCATCATGTGGCTGGATAATCACCACTTTGACTGTCACAGAAGTGCGCAGCAGGTCAATCATTTGTTCATGAGTCAGGGTTGCTACTGCTACTTTGCAGATCTCTACTAGGCGACTGCCTTGACGTAGTCCTGCTTTCCATGCAAAACCAAATGGCTCCACATCTGCCACAATGCCTTCAAAGTTAACATGGAATCCAAGTTGTCCTAAGCCATTTCTCCTCAGTGTCATTTCTGTTGTTTCACATCCTCTGGTTGCTGTCTAAAGAAGTATCAGATCAATGAGATTACAGCATAATATAAGATTTCCAGACAGTAAGATTTCCATAAATGGGAGGAAATGTTTTTCAATGTTTGTAATGCACACTTTGGGGAAGTGGAAATATTTCAGTTCTTTAACAAATATTCTTAACAAAACATAAAATGTACCATGTATAATTTCTTAAATAAAACTTACTGTTTTATATGTTTGTTACATTTGAAAGCATACACATAATTAAGAGTTTAGTGGAGTTATAAGCCATCATATATATGAGTGCAATCTTATACACATGTATGCAAAAGTAAACCTCAGGAATCAGAGCTGTAGCAAATTTGGCAGCCAGAGCAAGTGGTGCTATTTCCTACCCACTCTGCCCTGAGGTGTGGCCATGAATTCCCCCTTATGAAACAGGAGAAGGAGAAATTGGTGTCACCCTAAGAGAAGGCTTCCAACGAGCTGAAAGTTAATTAAGGTAGGAGGAGACGTTCCTGATTACTTTCTGAACAATCACCAGTAGATTCACCTTTAAATTTTGATGCCTTCTAAATTCTGGCACCCTTGAACAAAAGCTCAGCTGCTTTACCCTCATTACAGCCTTGCCATACTCCCAGATATGCATTGCACCATAACATTACAATTCCACTGAACTGTGACATCACAATTCTACATTCATTTATCTAGAAATCAGTACAAGAGGATTGGTGACACTTATTTCTAGGACACCTAGTTACACTGTAAACAATCTAAACTGCTAAATTTATATTTATAATTAGAGTTGGAAAAAGTGTGTGTTTTGTGCTTGTGTGTTTTGTGTGTGTGTGTGTGTGTATGTAAAACAAAAGCAATAATACAGCTGTATCATTGTGAAGGAGCTGAGAATGTGAGTGTGCCGTCCCTAGTCGTGGAGTATATAAGAGGAGAAGAAGAAACAAACAAAGGGGAGTCAAAGATGAACAAAGTGACAGTTAAAGAAAATGCGGGAGAATCAGAAGTAGAGGAAAGAGTGGGAAAGACGGAGGTCTGTTTAACTGAGGAATTGATAGAGGGGGAATGGGCGGAGTAAGAGGTGTCTGGGTGGAAAGAGGATAAAATGAGGAAGGGATGAGATGGTTCAGTTCAGTGGTGGTGAATATGAGCAGAAAAGGAAAGAAGAGTGTAGAGAGGTGTTTGAGAAGCTGAGAACTCGACTTATAAAAGACTTTCCTAACTTCCAAGTTAGGGGGCTTCTGCCAGATCCCGAGATGAAGAGAGACCTACCCGATTTGTGACCCATGAATGGACTGTGATAGTGGCTCCACGTGAACTGGAACTACAACGTGAGTTGGCGACCTCCCATAACCAATATTACGAGAAACCTGATGAGAGAGGCTGGGTGAGACACGCATGCTGTGGGATGATCTGCGCCCTGCGGAGTACTCCTCCCCAGAGACCAGAGTACAAAGAATGGCGTGGGGAGTCTCCCCGTTGAGTCCCTGGGACTATGAAAAGAGTTTTGGTTCGCACAGTTGTGGCTTGTTGCCCGAGTTAAAAAGTTTTGACCCAATAAGTAATGTGCTGGTGGATGTAGGTGAAAAAAAAGAAGAAAGTTTGAAAGTTATCAAAATGACTCTGTTGTTATTTCCCGCCGAAATTGAGGGGCTGCCCCAAAATGTAAAAGAACCTAATCATAATCATGGCCATTTTTTTTTAATGAAAGCTAGTATATAAATATTCTAAACTCCAGCTTCCACCCTCAACAGACTATTAGAATCAACTGTCCACAGCGATGCCCTGAGATATAATCAGATCTGCTCAGATCGACAAGGTTCACATTCATGAACCTACAAAAGACATTTCTAAGATTACAGTACCCACCAAACATGAGGACAGAACAAATTAACAGGGCAAGATGGACACAAAAACAACCAATTACTAGACAAACCCAGAACAATGGATAATGGAACACCATCAGCTGCCACACATCATGAACAATCTACAACCCATCTGGACAACAGTACAGTGGTGCCCCGCTAGACGCTTATCTCGTTAAATGACAAAATCGCTTGACAATGCCTTTTTTGTGATCGCTATAGCGATAGCAAAATGATGTTTCCTATGGGTTTTTTCATTTAACTACTCTTAGGTCCCTGCTTCGCAAACCGATTGTTCACAAGACGACGATTTAAAACAGCTGATCGGCAGTTCGCAAAATGGCTCCCCACTGTTTTCCGGACCTAGTTCCACAAGACAGGGATCACAAAATGGCTGCCCTATGGAGGATCTTCTCTGTACGAGCAGGTATTTCCCCCATTGGAACGCATTAACCGGTTTTCAATGCATTCCAATGGGGTTTTTATTTTTGCGTGACGACGATTTCGCTGTACAGAGATTTTAACGGAATGCATTATCGTCATCATGCGGGGCACCACTGTACTGCACCAACTGCTTACAAACAACTCTTCAGTCTCAAACAACTACAGTACTGGGACACAATGGACTGCACAATGCAACAAGATCCTTCTGCAAATCTTGATACCAACTCTGTCCCCACATTTACTCTAGGAAGCATGATTACAGGCCCCAACAGTGTCAACCTCAACATCACAACGTCACAGGAACAATTTACTTATTCATCTGCTAACATTATCTTTGTGTGACGCCTGTCTGTACCCTACATAGGACAAACAGCACAATCTCACTGCAAGAGAATTAAGAGACATATATCTGGCATCAGAAATGGCACCACACAAAACTTCTGTTTCAGTCTCCCTAGAACACTCTATATATGACTGTGGTAGATAACAAGTACAAAATGAACCTGGAAAGAGAAACAGCTGAGATAAGATACGTACATATGTTCTACAGTGCATCAAAAAGATTAAACATAACCAGAGATCATTAGCTCTCTCTCTCATTCTCTCTCTCTCTTTCTGTTAACAGTTCCCACAGTCTTGTATATGGTCCAGACTTTGGGAAATGATTAGCTGCTACTTGATTGTACAGAATAAGAGAATCTCCAAGTGTTGCTTCTGGATTGGGGCTCTTGCTTATAAACTGATGGGTACTGCAAATAGAAGAGGCAGTAGTGACTTTTACATTTTTTCCCTCCACCCTGCGTACCCAGTGCTTTAGAAAATCTACTCCATGAGGATCTGGATCCCACACAATATTTCTTTGAAAATACTGAGGTTTATTTCTCAAGCAAAATTACTAGTGAATTTCATATGCAACATCAGACCATGTTTATCAATGCAAAGCAAGCCTTGGACTTCCCCACAATTGCTCCTCTTCTCAGTCCTACTTTTCCATATATGCAGCCTGTTTAAATAGTTCCTTTTCGGTTTCTACAACTGACTATTATATTCTAATAAGCAAATTATATTTTTAAAGCAAAAATATTTGCACCTGCCTTGCACTTCTGGTTCATTGTTGCCTTCCAACCCCACTCCTGCTTTTAAATATAAGCATACAGCATTTTAAAGCTAGTGACAAACTGTGACCTGAGGTAAACCAGAAAGGAAGGAAGCAAATAGGAAAAGCGAGTGAAGAGAGAACTTTGTCACATATTTCCAACCCATGGTTTGATATTACATGCAAACAGATTCAGTGTCTGAAGATCCATAGCTTCTAATGGGAAAAATGTGGGCACTGAACTATATTTTAAAAAAAATTAAAAAGGAAGGCGTGAATGAATTGAAACAATCCCCTTAGCATTTCTCAAGTTAGTTTTGTGGGCCAAATCCAATATTGGCTCCACTTATAGGAGACAAGCTGAAATTAATAGGATTTACTACTCATTCTTTATGTAAATCCTGTTTATTTCAATGGTCTATGCTAGGTGGGACTAACATCGGATTTAGCCACATGTGCAATCTCAGCTTGCACACATGGCTAAATCCAATGTTACAAGAATACACTAATGAACAAAATAATACACTAATGGACAAAAGGGTCTTTTAAGATGCTTTCTGCAACATTTAGAAGTATTGTGCCAACATCAAAAAGTCCTAAATTCTTCATTTAATAATCTAGCCCAGATATGTTTCAGTTCTATTACCAGTAATATTCAATATTTTCAAATCTTGAAGCTAAACATTTGCAACAGTGTGAATTGCCTATAGCAGTGTCATTCTTATATGTTACTTTAATTAGTATTTTACATTTTGAAAGTATTTCAGATACTTTTAAGTTTTAAATACATTTTCCACTTTTACATATAATGCTCAATACTTTTTCTTTGTTCCCTAGGCCAGGGGACAGCTAATGGTGAAGGATGATAGGAATTGTAGTAGAACATCTGGAGGACCAAATTTCCCTACCCTGCAGCAGGCTTTTATATTTCTGCACAAGAGACATGTCTTTGGAAAGATGTGAGAAATCATTTCCAAGCTCTGTGATGTCATGGATACCACATTTTACCCTTCAGATGAAGAGACTGCTAATAGTCATCCTGTCATTCATGGTTCACTACTGGCCTCTGAATAAAGATGCTTTTCTCAAACCTCTAACATTTGATGCCCCTGCAGCAACCATCTGTCTTTTGGCCAATTTCTATCACAGTATATTTCTTTGAATGATTATTATAACCATGCAAAGACAGCTATGTTTGTTGAATATTTAGCAGCTGTCTTATATCAGAACAATGGGCAAGCAAAAAATAGACATTTACTTAAGTCCTTGCAGGTGCAGAGGATTTTCTTTGTTAGTACAATACTCCTAAATTATTATAACCTGACTCATTTGAATGGGCCAGGCTATACATTTTGAATACATTTACAGAATCCTAACAAAGTGAAAATTCTTAGTTCTGTTCACCAGATTCCCACAATTTCTTTCGTGAACAGAAATTTGCCTTTGAAAAGTAGAATAATTTTTTTAAAAAAAACCCGACAAACCAAAACAGTTCTGCCAAGTACAAACAGAAATCTGGACTGTTTTATTTCTGTTTTAAAAACTGCATCATGGTTTTTGTTCCTTCTGTAACCTACATAAGAAGTACTTAAGACAGCACAAAAGTATATCAAATAAATAATTTCTACTTGAGAATAAACTATAAGAAAGAAATGTCAATGCAGTACTGCTGACGTAACACTTAGAAAAAAGTTCTGGGTGCAAAGGTCTAAAGGAAGAAAGCCACACTGTGTTATTTTCATCGCTGTTCCCATTCACACATGATATGCTTTTGCCACTAATAAGGACTATTGTTGTTGGCATGGTTATTTTTACTTCATGTTCAGTTCAGTGGATATTTCACACCATGAAAATGTTTGTGCAACTGTCTGTACTTCCATCACCCATTTTTCTTTATTTGGAAAAAACTAAGACATACAGGGAATTGGGAAGAGAAGGCAGAAAAGCTAGAGCCAAGGGAATAGGTAGACAAGTCTGTTTCAAAGAGTAATTGTATTTAAACATTCCTCTCCAAGGTTTGTGTATTCCAAACCAAGAAAAAAAGGGGGGCAGCAAAAATCCCAGTCATTAGCTAGATTTCTTGAAACAGCTGTTTGGTAAGTCTGCGTAGCTTTCATCCTCCCTTAGATTTATTGTGAAGGTTCAAATAAATGTTTTGGACAGAAATAATGACTAGATCATCAAAAATATTTGTTTTCTTCAAGTTGATTAGGGCTACTCATTTTTTTAAATCAGTAACTATGAAAAGGCCCATTAATAATGGAATTAACAAGGGACGTGGTTAACAAAGTCTCCACTAACTTGTTACTGTTAATGCTTTCAACAAATTTCATGACTCCTTGACCAGAATCTTGTTGGTTTGTTTTCTGCTGTCTATAGATGGGAAACCACAGAAGCTGCAGTCAATAATTGATGTGGTGCTGGTTGCATATTGGTTACATGTCTGCTTGTGTGCCCAACATATACTTGACATCTCATCAATCATCTGCAGCAGTTTCTGTGATTGCGCTTTCAAGCATGGTAAAAAACAATCAGATTCTGACCACAATCTTGCCACTCTTCTGTTCATTTCAGTTTCTTTTTTAAAAGGAAGAAAACAACAACAACAAAACCCAGAGAAAATTAATTTTGTTGATTCCATCTCCTTAATCCAGCCCGCTATATAACCAAGGTCTGAAGGGAAGGTTGGGGAATTGTCTCAAACAGTCTGAGGTGGGTTTGAGAAAATTAGAAAGATGGAAAAATCAGCCAAAATGACCCCCTGTTCCTCTGCTGGATCCATAATTTTGCTGATTGCATCTCCTTAATGCAGCCTGCTATATAACCAAGGTCTGAATGGAAGGTTGGGGAATTGTCTCAAACAGTGTCTGAGGTGGGTTTGAGAACATTAGAAAGATGGAAAAATCAGCCAAAAATGACCCCCTGTTCCTCTGCTGGATCCAACAAAGGAGGATATCTTTCTGTTTCTGCAGATGCAACTTTAAAGTCAGATCACCCTGTCTAACGTTCTCTGAGTATAGTACCATTGCAGTAATGCTAGTGACAATTCAAAAGCTGTAGCATAAAGATGTCTAAATGGCCCTTTCAATTACACCCATACATTCCTGGCTTTATGGTTATTTCCAGCTAATTTATAGTTTTCACTTTCCATATTCAATATTATATCTATTTATACAGACATCTCTAAAAGATAAAGGAGACAAACATAAAACAAATGTATGACTCAGAGGTAAAAATAAGATTGGCATAAAATAACTAGATTAGGCATCCTTCAGTCTCGAGAGACTATGGTAATGTGCTCTGAACAGAAGACTTGGAACAGCATCTAGTGTGGCTGAGGAGGCCAATTCAAGAGTGACAATCCCTTCCATACTGACGACAAATACCATCTGTCCCTTGTCCAGCTCCCTGATTTTGATAGTTTCGGGACTGCCTCTTTGCCTCGGCCATAAAATAACATTGCTACAGTATTACAGACAACTCACTTCCATAAACTTAAATAATTACAAATAAAACTTGGCAAATAAAAACCAAACTCTACGTGCCAATTTATACTTATGAGTAAAGGAAATCAAATTAAGTCTTGGGACAAGCTGCACCTCATTAATGAGGCAATGGCTGCATGCCTGAGCATGCACCCAGGAGTACAACCAGTACCTCTTTCATGAGCAGCAGTTTGCCACTAATATTTACATTATGTGATGTCCCTTACACAAGCATAAATTGGTCATAAGATTTCGGCAAACATTACCAAAAAGAAACAATTATCTGCCCTCACAAAAAAGTGACTGGGACAAGCATTATCAAGTTTTCCTTAAAAGCCGCTTTATTGGTGAAACCATTGGTGAAACTATGAAACCATATTCATCGGTGAAGATGATGATTCCAGAGTCCCTATTCTGAGTAAAGTTATTAGATTCATGACAATTTTTAATACAGTTGCCAACTGGACCAGTTGGCAAAAATTCTTACTTTTAAAATTCTATAGTCAGGTAATATATTTATCCATCTTTCACAATATTGTGAAAAACCAGCACAGCTTGGTGTCTGAGCTCAGGGCTTGGCTATAGAAGGAAGTGGTCACACTATAGAGCTCTACTGTGATATGAGAATGACATTAAGGTCCAGTCAGCAGCCTTGGATTATTCCTGGGGGTTGGAAGAGGAACATAGAAGAGTGATTTCTCTCTCTGGTCTGCTGTTGAAACATATGTGAGGCCTCTATATGGCTTTGGCCCTTCAGCTGCCCAGATCTCTATGTATCCTGCAAATTAATAACTTAAGAATGAAAATACTAAAAGAAACCATACTTACTTCTAGTCTTTGTACTATTTCTCTGATGTCATCAGCACAGTTATCCAATGCAGACAAAAGAACACATTCTCCTCTTTCATAAAAGACTTTTACACTCATTAATCCAGATGTCCATCCAATGACATCTCTGCAGGAGCAGTTAAACACAACATTTCTTGATTCCTTTTCAATCAATACGATAAACTCATTTGAGATACCTAGGAGACATTCAATGTCAAGGGACTGACCAAAGTCTCGTGCTATCACATTCCATATCACTGCTCCAATGCTGAATAAGTGGGCATCCTTTCTTGGTTTAACTCTTTCTTTTTTCTTTGCTCCCAGTGTAATAAAACTAAACTTAGCAGATGTATCCACTGTAGCTGTAGTAGCAAAATTTTCTGCTAGATCTTTCAAGTACTCTTGGCGTGTTCTGGTTGCCATTGCTCGAAATTTTTCAGATTTGTGTGCCGCATTTTCTGCATTAATAACCTTAGCCAAAAGGAAGTCCCGGAAAACTGCTGATTTGGGGAAAGTTACTCCTTTTGGGATTGGTGGCCCAAATGGTGGTACATCTTTTGATCTTGAAACTCCAACACTAGAAAGTAAAGCAGAGATGTCAGGAAGCAATACAATTGTAACATCATAATTCTGTAATTTACTGGGATTTTGCCATTAGTGGTGACATAACTTCTACTGCAAAGGCACAGCATGGCAATAGGATGTCTGTCACTGAATATAAAAGTTCATTTTTAATAAACGAGATATACACATATGGAAGAAGTACAAAGCATAAGATGTTCTTCCATTGTAAAGCCCCTCAGTGCTTTTCAGCAGTGGACATACACTGGATTAGTGGAGCAGCAAAGAAAAGTTCTGTCCATTGCTAGCAAATGCTAAAAAGCTTAATCAGCAAGTTAAGAGGTGGTAGCAGAAAATGTCCTGTTGTACATTAACATAAGATGCCATGTTTATCAAAACCACAGTTTTCTGATTATATGAACTCACAAGCAATGCTTTTGATTCACAGTAGGCACACAATTTTTTTATTTGTTGTGACGGCCTTCCTCACGACTCACAAAGGGAGGCCGTCACGTCACTTTAAAACACTTTACTCCACTTTACTGCCACCAACCATTCCTTAATAAAATAAATAACTCATCAGGCCAGTATAATTTTCAAATATAAAAACTTGGTTTATTGAATACAAACATAAAGGAATGGTAAATCACTGTTAAATAAATAATCAATTACTGTTTCTCAGGCACTAGCTCTCACAGACTCTTTCACACTGACACTAAGATTACTTTAACTCGCAGCTCAGACACTCATCTCTCATCTATCTGCTATCTCCTATCTGACCCACTCACACACACCTTATATATCACAGCTCCTCCCGCCTCTCCACCACCCTCAGCCCTCTCATTGGCTGAGATTTTCCCTCCCAGCTGTGACGGACAGGTAATGCTATGGCTGACCGTAACATTTGTGTTATAGCAAACTATAACTATGTGCATGTGCTGAAGTTAAAAAGATGGATTAAGCCTTTTGTTATGCAAAAGATTAAGTAGTAATTGTTTAACAGGGTAAAATCTGGGGGACTATTAACCTACAAACAAATCACTTTTCTGGTACTGCTTCTTTATCAAAGCAAGTTTGTCAAAGGAAGCTAGAATCCAATTAAGTTTTTACATTGATATAAGTGCAGTGGCATAACTTGGAGCAGCAAACTGCTTCGTATTGTCTCCAACTGAATACCTAGTCCTGTGACAAATCATGCAACTAGTATGTGACTATAAATTTACAGTATTTGGGACTTGTTAATTAGTTGTTATGCACTTCTCCAAGTCACATTACTGCACATATGCCAGAATAAATATGTACCGTAAATGGATTTTGGCCAATGAGATAGCCATTAGTGAATGAACATTATTAATATATTATAACTTAACCTATCAGTCTGAACTAAAGGATATGATTTCTACAGAATAAATATTATTTTATGAGATAAAAATAGAATTTTACTCTTAAAAATATATTCTATTCATCCTATATTAAATAGTATATGTGCACTTTCGGTCTGAAAATTCATGAACAATATAAAATTAATTAATGTAAGTAATAAAGTTTAATGAAAAAGCAATTTCATAAAATAAGTATCATGAACTACAATTTTATTAAACATTTCTATATACATTACACATATACATTAAATGCACATACTACATGCATAATTTTATATACTACTTTTTAATAATGCATATTATTTCGCATATTATAGCAACCTTCACATATTTTTAGATTCCATAGAAGTGCTGAAATACTGTCATTAATTCCATATTTTTTATTAGAAAAGGAAATTAGCTAAATAAAATTTTTGGCCATGCCCCTCTCCACCTTGATCATACAGACTTAAAAGTATGGCCTATATACTGTAGAGCTGACCAAGCTGTAAAATGGCCCTTGGCTCTGCTGAAGTAGTGAACACCATTTTAGTCAATTAAACTACTTTATGCCCTTTTTCATGAATAATCCATGTCTCTAAACAGGATTACAAACCACCACAACAATTGTTCTTATTGAATAATCTAGCAGACTCCCTAAATTCTGCTACTAAAACTGTGTAGCTTGTTCAATTAATTGGAAAATGCTAACAATGAAAGAAAAGCAAAGAAGTAAAACCATCACAATAAGAACCAAGAAGCAAAGTCAATCAGCAAGTGTACTTACCTATAGCACACATTTTCAGTACAAGGATTGTGGACTTTAACAATGACAAACACATGTTGAAAATGAGAACGGATATTTTTTGGAGTAAAAGGAAGTGCTCCTGGCTCTTGGAAGACAATAGTAACAATGTCATTTCCTATATGCCTTTTCCTTAGGAGCTAAATGCAAAATATAAAAAATGAAAGAGATTAAATTGTTACTTGTGGCTGCAACTCTACTTCGTTTATTTTTAATAGAAAAACCAGCAACAGTTTAAAAAATAAGGAGTCACTAAAAAAAGTTCCATACAATGGTTTAGCTGTAATGCTCATGTTTAATATTACAACTGTAGAAGACAGAGATGAATTAGTACTGGTGGACAAAGCTAAACGTATCGCATCGTTTTTCAGAACAATTCTAATTTCAGTTGATTTTGATGATGCACCAATGGGAAAGACCAGGAAGATCTATGTCTGGATACTGAAATGATTCATTTGTCTGCCAAGGTTTAGGCAATTTTATTCCCAGTGGCAGTTTTACACAATGTTATACAGCAACTGCACAACATACACACATCTAAGACTTTGAAGGGAATTTCTCTGGGAGGTGCAGACAACTAATGTAAAACACTTAAATGTACACATAGTCTTTCATGTGGTCCTCTGAAAAATGTGCAACATACATGTTTGGAACCATTCCAAATGCTGATAAAGAAACTTTATGGCAAACATTATTGGTTAAATTCTTAGGTAACCTAACATATCAACGATAATACTGTACAAATCAAAGCAACAAAATAACAACAATGCAAATAAAAAGAGATGTTTATCATTTTTTAAATCATCTTACAGAAAAAAGATATTTGAAATAATGGTGCTATCCAAGATTTCCTTGGACATATTCCTGGTGTATTTGTAATTCAGCACTAAAACCAGAAGGAGCTTAAATCTGGCCCCCTCCCCATGACTTTGAAAGCAGAAAAACGCAATAAAGAGGCTGCTGCAGAAAAACACAATCACTTGATGTCCTTTATTTAATTTTTTAAAACCAACCTAAGCCAGAATTTTGGAGGCATTTCAACAACCGGGGTGGTCAGGATTACAATGGTAGAAATCTCAAGGTACAAACTGGGTTGTGTTTGGAATTGCTTTACTTGAATTTTATTTAATATTATCTTTCTCAAACTTTTGAGGTGAGATGGGCTAGTAGAGATGTATGTAAAAAGAAGGGGAAGTAAACAACCATATGCATCTGGTACACACAATTACTATGGCCAAAGGATGTAACTCTGGACATTATAACCAGTAGCTGCAATCCATCCTAGGGTGTGTTCCAGGACCCTTTAGAGCCTCCCCCTCCCCCCCAGGGGTCAGAGAGGGCGAAATCGCCACCTTCTGAGACTCTTTTGAGGCTTGGGAAGCTTCAGAAGAGTCCCAGAAGGTGGCGATTTCATCCCCTCTGCCCCCCGGGGGTCAGAGGGGGCGAAATCGCTACCTTCTGGGACTCTTCTGAGGCTTCCCAAGCCTCAAAAGAGTCCCAGAAGGTGGACATTTCGCCCGCGCTGGCCCCGTGGGGGGTGGAGGGAGTGTCGCAAGGGTCTAGGAAGGCTCACTCAGACCCTTGCAATGCTCCCTCCACGCCCCATGGGGCCAGCGGGGGCCAAATCGCCACCTTCGCCCCATAAGACGCACAGACTTCCCCCATACACATTTTGGGGGGGAATGCGTCTTATGGAGCAAAAAATATGGTAAATTAATCTACAGTTAGTTTACTGTCAGCATATCTTGATGAATACAGAAAAATATATCATGTAGTAGCAAAAAAGCAACAAGGGAAAAACCTGTGACAGTTCATATTGTAATATGAAAACATCTGTATAATGCTAAGAAAATGCAAGAAAAGACATGAAGCAAAGGAGTGTCCATGCTTAGAAGAAATTGTGCTGCTCTTTTTCCACATTGAGGACAAATTGTGCTGTTTTTCCGACACTAAACTTATTCTGTCAGTCTCAGTGGGTGGCACAGAATAAGGGGCTTCAGATGGACCAGCAAAACAGTCTACTGATATTTGGTCTCAAAGACGTGACTTCAATGAAACATGAACAATGAAATCATTAGGCATATGATCATAAAACTGAACAATCCCTGTTACCACTGAAAGAAGTAAAAACAAAAAGTGACGCAGAAGATAGATATTTCAGGCTCTAAAGTGCCCAAAGAAACAAACCAAATGCTCAAAGAAACAAACCAAATGCTCTGTTAAAAAGATGAATGCTCTAAAACAGTGGTCCCCAACCTTTTTCGGTCAGCGGGCTGTTTGGGGGTTGCTGGCTCCGTGACTGGAATGGTTGGGGGTGGGGGCACCCCTGTGCTTGCGAGTGGGCATGTCATTCTCACGGAGAGGCGTGTCACGCTCACAGAGGGGTGTGCTGCCCTTATGCGCATGTGCACGAGCACAACACAGCCACCCGCAAGTGCGACACACCTACCCACTCTCAAAATCTGCCTGGCTTCTAATTTCAACCCAACCTGGAGTGGGAGCAGCAGCGGCAGCACCTACTTGGTGACCTCATAGGGGCTGGGTCCTGCCTGCCCCCCTGAAACACCCACGGGTCCAGAAGGGGAGCCCTCTCCCTGCCCAGCAGCAGGGACCCCACAAGAAGGCTGTTCTCTCAGCATCACCCCCTCCCGTGGCACGTCTGGGCAGGGAGCGGAAGATTGCCAAGTGGGAGGAAGAAGAAGTGTGCAGCCAGGTTGCGAGCGGGGTCCCTCCTTCACCTCAGCTGCAGAGAGGATGAGGTGACAGTAGCAGCAGCCTCGCCAGGTGACCCATGAAGAGCAGGGGAGAAGGGAGTGAGAGAGACCTAAAAGCAGAAGCCCCGGTGGCATCAAATCCCTGAGGGAGAAGACTGCCAGCCAGGGAGAGGGCTTCCCTTCTGGATGCATGGGTGCTTCGGGGGGACGGGGGAACCCAGCCCCTACGAGGCGGGAAGGAAGACCTGTGCCCACCAAGTAGGTGCCGGTGCTGCTGCTTCCACTCAGGGGGGACCCAGCCCCTACGAGGCGGGAAGGAAGTAGGTGCCGGTGCTGCTGCTTCCACTCCAGGTTGGACTGAAATTAGAATTTTGAGAGTGGGAGGGCGTGTTGCGCTTGCGGGTGGCTATGTTGTGCTCATGTACATGTGCACAAGCGCGACACGCTCCTCCACAAGTGCGACATGCTCCTCCATAAGCGCAACACCCCCCCACTGTGCGTGCATGGGGGATGGAGATCCATGTCCGCGGCCCAGTTAAAGGAAGCCCACGGACTGGCACCAGGCCACAGACCGGGGGTTGATGGCCCCTACTGTACAAAGACAAAGGCAAGTCCTGACTTTCCTGTAGGAACAGAAAATTGGAAAATGTAACGAATGGGTCAAAAAATAAATAAATTGTAAAATGGAGGTGATATCTTGCAGTGGATTTCTAAAAGGTTTTGTATCTGGGCTGCAGAGATGCAACTCACATTGTGAAGAAGTAGACCAGAATTCAGTATGAATAGTGTATGCTTTGTATGCAAAATATCCCAGGTAGCATCCCTGCTATTTCTAGTTCATTTATGAAGTAATCCACCCCGACGAATTACAATGGTGCCTTGACTTATGAACTTACTCTGTATTGGAATGGTGGCCGTAAGTCAAACGTTCGTAAGTCAAAGCACCATTTCTCACAGGAATGCATTGAAAACCGATTAATCTGTTCCAGCTGTTTTTTGTCCTTATGTCAAGGCATGGTTCTTAAGTCAAAGCATTAGTTCCCATAGGAATGAATGCAAAGCTCATTAATCCATACTCTACCACTAAGGGGAGATTTTTTTCTTTTTTCTTCTTTTAACCTAAGATGAACTTAATTTTTGTTTTTTGTTCTTCTTCCATCTTGGATCATTATGGTTTTTTTTTAGTAATATATTGTCATTTTAATTGTAAATTGTTATATGTCATGCTGTTACCCGCCCAGAGTAGTCTATATGACTAGATGGACGGCCTATAAATGTAATAAAA